TTGCTACGACTGGAATGGGGGGTGGAAAGAAAAGAAGTAGACTAAGACTCCAAGGATTTTGTTTGATGCACTAGAAGGACAGCAGAGCCACTGACTATGATGGAGAAGACTTTTCTCCCAGACTTTTAGTTTGGGAGAAAAGATCAGGATTTCAGTTTTAGATGACTTAAATTTGAGCTACCAATTAGATGTCCAAATAGAGATACTGATTAGAGATAGGATGTATGAGCCTGGAGGTCAGGGTGGAGGTGCTGGCAAAAGACACTTGTATTTCTTTGAGTCTAAGATGACTTAATGCTGGTACTTTCTTGATCTTTATCAGGAACTGTCAAAAGAAAACTTCACACAGAATATATTTGCCACCTCACTGACAGTGAGTGACAAATGCCACCTGTTTATAAAACATGGTCTCTCAACCTCGGTACAATTTTGGGTTAGATAATTCTTTGCTGTGGTGGCTGGCCTGTGTGTTGTAGGATTTTAGCAATACCCTTGGCTTCTACCCACTACATGCTAGTAAAACACTTTTATCGGCGATAACCAAAAATGTCTCCACACACTGCTTAATGTCCCCTGGGGGGAGTGCAAAATAGCTCCCAGTTACCACTGTTTTAGAGGGATTAAAATGTGGGGAACAGGTGCGTCTTAGATAAATGAAATAGGGTACTAAAATGTGGGAGTTGTCAGTGCTTAAGCTCACAAGACTGGATTTGGATAGAAAAGTAGTCTGAGGACTGCACCTTGGGGTACTCCAATGTCAAGAGACCATAGACATGAGAAAGAGATTGTGAAGGAATGGTCAATGATATGCATCCACTCCTTCCCCAAATCAAACTAAAACAAAGATAAATGTTTTTTTTTTCTGTTGCCTTTTAAAAAAATATTTATTTTGAGAGAGAGAAAGAGAGCAAGTGAGCCCATGCGTGTGTGCACAGAGTACGAGCGGAACAGGGGCAGAGAGAGAGGGGGAGAGAGAATCCCAAGCAACTCCACGGTCAGCACAGAGCTGGACATGGGGGCTCAAGCTCATGAACTGTGAGATCATGACCTGAGCCAAAATCAAGAGCTGGATGCTTAACTGACTGAGCCACCCAGGCACCCCTTGTGTTGCTTTTGAAAAAAAAATTAGTAACAAACTCACAAGACATGACAAAATTTTGGAAGCTAGAAAGCATTTGGCTGAGTGGTAATCAACTCATAGACCCAAGGAAAGCTGAATGTTGAGCCAGCACTGGAGAAAAGCACAGGAACAACCCAATGTACATCATGTAACCTCAAAAGTCTCCAGAAGCAACAGAAATGATCGTGGGAAGAAAAGCAGGAGGATTACTTGAAAGCATACTTAAGAAAGCAGTTAATTCCCAGATTCCTTCCTTTACTCGCCCACCAGCAGTGGTCTCAAGTTCAGACTGACAGTCACTTATAGGACCCAAAAGACCATAGTTTGGCACTAAGTTTACTTAGTTCTGTAGAAAGACAAAGCATGCTAGCATGAGACATGCTATCTTTAGAAGGGATTATACAGTCCCCCAGGAGCCTTTTGTGGACACACCATTGTAAAGGACAGAGATCATGTAGGTAAGTACAGAAATCACTCTGGCTTAGGGAAACTTCATACTCCACATGAATCAGCAGTACATTTTAACAGCCAAAGAGTATAGGTTCTAGGATCCCCTAACTCTTGATTTTGGCTCCAGTCATGATCTCATGGTTCATGGGATCAAGCCCCATGTCAGGCTCTGTGCTGACAGCGTGGAGCCTGCTTGGCATCCTCTCTCTCTCTCTCTCTCTCTCTCTCTGCCCTGCCCCTGGTCATGTGTGCGTGCGCGCTCTCTCTCTCTCAAAATAAATAAACTTAAAAAAAAAAAAGTCATTCTTGAAGGGGAACTTTTGCCTTAAAGGGAACATATAGCAACGTCCGGAGATGTTTCTAGTTGTCACAACTGTCACAACTGAACTAGGCGTATGTACTCCTGGCACCTAGTGGATAGATGTCAGTGATGCTGCTGAATGTCCTACAATGCACAAGATAGCTCCCACAACAAAGAATTATCTAGCCCAAAATGTTAGTAGTGAACGTTGAGAAATCCTGACCTAAAGGGATTAGACAGAAGTTCACATACTGAACACTGAGGGCCACCTCACATTGCAAGCCTTCTCAAATGGGCTGTTAATGCACTGACAGCCAAGCATATGCCCTCCATGCAGGAGAATGGAAGAATCTTCTCTGGAGAAGCTCACCCACCTGAGAGAAAAGACCTAAGAATGATCCTACAGCAAAGACTGCAAAAGACAACAAAGAACTTTAAGATGATAGTAACAGAACACTAATTTTGTTTGAACCAAGAGACTTAATTAACTGGGGGAAAGTTTGGAGTTGAAATAGTGATAAACATACAAAAAAACTGTATGTTTTTAAACTTAAAGACAAGTTTTAATTCCAGGTAAGCAAAATGTAATGTCCCAGAAAGGAAATGTAATAAAAGCACATAGAGCCTGGGGCACCTGGGTGGCTCAGTGGGTTAAAGCGTCCGTCTCTTGATTTTGGCTCAGGTCATGATCTCATAGTTCCTGAGTTTGAGCCCCACACTGGGCAGTGCGCTGACACTGCAGAGCCTGCTTGGGATTCTGTTTCCCACCCCCCTCTCTACCCCTCTCTCACTTGCTCCCTATCTCTCCCAAAAATTTTAGAAAGAGAGAGAGAGAGAGAGAGAGAGAGAGAGAGAGAGAGAGAGAGAAAGGAAGGAAGGAAGGAAGGAAGAAAAGACAGGCATATAGAATTTAGCACCAAACTGCATGTATACAGTCATGATAATACAAACACTGAATAGTATCCCAACCAAAATACACTGGGAGGATAGGAAGGGAGAAGGGAAAGGAGCTGTCTAAAAAGGAATTGTCTAAATCCTAATCTTCCAGAACAAGAAGTCAGAAGATAGCACATATAACTATAATAAATCAAGAAATAGTAATAGAAGTATAGATTTAATGATATAGATGTAAATACCCTGAGAATCAGCTAAAAGAGCAGACAGTTCTAACCTCTGAGAGAATATAGCATGTTTGTACACATGTGTAGCACTGTTTTCTGTAACAACCCTCACAGAACTATTGAGCTCTTTAAACTCCATGCATGCAAATGTAATTAAAATATGCTTTAAAAATTGTATTTGAGTGTAGGGACAATTTGATACATGGGTTTGGGATCTAGTAAGCCTCAAATGGTTTTCTTAATTTGAAGAACAGACTAGATCCATAAAAAAGTGCACTAAAACAAGTTCCAGATTTGCTAAACCACTTTTCTACTCATCCAGGCAAGGCAAAAGAACAGGCTGGATAGAGAAGGCTTCAACTCTTTCCCTGCTTTATTCCTGGTTTACTCACCAAACTTTATACTGAAGTCTTACATTAAACATGATACTACTGAACACAGGCATCCTTGCCTATGAATGCCACAAGGTCACATTTGAAGAGTTTGCTGGGAGAGGATTTTTCATTTTATTGTATGAATTTATATAATGAGTATATTTTTACAGATGAAACACAAAGATACTTAATGATTAGTTCATAACCTGACCACATACATCTTGACCCAACTCAAAATAACCTGATTAGAAAGAAGGAATATCAATATATAAAACACAGAATAACCAAGAAAGCATAGCCCTAATAAAATATTGCTCATATTCCAAATGGTAAATCTAAAAGACATAAATGGAGCTGGTGCTAAATATAATCCCCAAATACCGTAAGACAGAAATCAATTTTTAAGTTCTCTGTATAATATACATACCACTTAAATGAGCTTCATTTTAAATAAGTCAAAGTTTATTTTTTAGATTGATATAATGTACGTATTCTTTACAAGCAATAAAACTCAAGTTTATCTCCAAACCACCATGATCCATGCTTCTTTTATGCCGCACTGTGCCCAGAACAAGCTAGGTACATTAATGGGTACAAGGAGTTACTGATATAAATTAATCTAATGAATTAAATCAATGGGGGGAAAATCAATAATGTTGAGTAATAGGTGTAAATCTTAAATTTCTCTGTGATTCTTTAAATCATGTTTGCCAAGATTTTACCTTAGTATTGACTATTCACAAATAGATTATTTTACCCTGTGGTAGAAAGCATTGTAAACAGAAACCAAATGGAAGGCTGGCTTTATTTTGCCCACAGTGATTTTCTTCTTTCTTGCTGTCTACCGTGTAATAATATTGCCTTCTTCTTGACAAAAATATTCAATAAAGAATTTACCTACACTAAACTCAGCTTTTGCTAAACTCATTTTAACATATATCCATTTCTTACTCTTGCCCCAACACATCCAAAAAACTTTGTCTTTTAAAAATCCATTCACATATATTAACCCTTTTGATTCTCTGACCCACCATATGAGGAGTACACCCTGTGCTATTAGCTCCATTTTACTTAGGAGAAATTGATGTCCACAGAGGTTGAATAACTCATTTAAGGTCCTAATGGTAGTGAGTGGCAAAGATAACACTTGGAACCAAGTTTTCTGATTCCAAGTCCATTGGCTTTTTTCACTACAGTACACTTACTCTTTGATAACAAAATAGAATATTGGAGGACTACAGTGGTGATAGGTATCTTTTTCATAAGTTGTTTTATAATAAACATACATTAAAAGCAACTATTATCAGCTTAACAACTATAACAGCTTTGCAAAATGTCATCAAATATAAATCACATTTCAAGTTTTTAAATCATGTGAAACAAATGATATTAATTCAAGGGCTTCAAACAGCCTAAGAATAAAATGAAGAAACTCTCTTAATTATTGTGACACTGCTGTATCTGGTAATATATTCCTTCTGTAGTCTGATTTGAAAACTTAGCTTAGAGGGATCCTTGACAAATTTTAAATGTAGAAAAAAAAAGATAGTTAATTAAAACTACGTTTAAAAAAATATAATTTCCTCCTTTTTTTTAGTACTAAAATGCCAGGAAAAAAAGTACCATCTACTTACCTCAGTAATTGGCTGCCCCTGATGTGTCAAATCCAGTTCTTGAGGGCGTGTTACTTTATCAATATCCAATGAGTCCATGCTGGACGTTGCAGAGGTGATGCTAGAACGAGAGGAGTTACTAATAGAGCGCACTTCAGCATCGCTCACTGTGCCTGCTGATGCTGTTCTTCTGTGCTGATTAGTTACTGACGGCTTAGTGTCTTCTAGTACAGATTGCTGAGCAGCCTCATCCATGCTCAAGGAAGCCTGCTCTAATTGTGCAGTGATGTCATCCAGGGAGTAGTTGGCATGTGACACTTTAGTTACTCTGTTAGACGAGGACGACAATCCTTTCAAAGTGCCATGTTTTGATGCATGTCGGCTAGCAGGTAATTTCTGAGTAGCTTTTGTTTCTGTGATTTGACGCTTACTATTTCCTGCACCAATACTGCTGAGCTCCTGCTCTATTGAGCAAAGATCGGCCATCAGGGCATCCAGATCCACAGTCTCTCCCTGATTCAGAGCTTCTGCAATACACAATATACATGATGTGTCCAGATCACACTGAATGAGAATTTATACATTCTATTATAAATCTGCTAATGAATGCAGGGGAAGAAGCAAAGAAATGTATCCTATTGGGCCTAAAGCCTACCAAATATATATTTCTAAAGAGTTTTTTGTTTTAAATTCAGAGAAATTTTTAGAAGCAAATAGTCCCTCTTTTAAGATTTATAGTAATCAGCAGAGATAAAATTATGAGTTGAAAGATAAAAATAATGCAAAAATCATATACTGTCCCATGGTTTTAACCACATCCCCCATCCAACTTTTTACTGTAGGCTATATGCTGTTAATATGATCAGTGCCTTGGTAGAGCTGTTAATACCTGAAGAGTTGAGAGCATAGAAGGAAAAATACAAGGCCTAAAAAAATTGCAGATTACGATGTCAATTCCAAATATTATAAAGTTGATTAGGCAGAATACATTAAATAAAGGCCAGAGGAGCTGATTTAAAAACTAACAGGTAGGGGCGCCTGGGTGGCGCAGTCGGTTAAGCGTCCGACTTCAGCCAGGTCACGAACTCGCGGTGCATGAGTTCGAGCCCCTCTTCGGGCTCTGGGCTGATGGCTCAGAGCCTGGAGCCTGTTTCCGATTCTGTGTCTCCCTCTCTCTCTGCCCCTCCCCCGTTCATGCTCTGTCTCTCTCTGTACCCAAAATAAATAAACGTTGAAAAAAAAAATTAAAAAAAAAAAAAAAACTAACAGGTAATTTCACTGGACTTTATTTCAATGAAAATACAACAATGCAATTAAGTTTGTCATAGGGTTCCAACTTGAGTATGTACCTGGTCAAATTATTAATCACTAGAAAACTATTTTAGTTATGTTCCAATTCAGTTTGTTCTGTGATCATTTCAATTAGTAATAAAATGCACAAACCAAGAAATATACGAACTTACTGAAGTTATGCATGTAGTTTTTACATTGAGCTATTCAGAACTGTAACTGCATTGCTTCCACGTTATATAATTTAGTATGCTGTTTCACATTTTATTTACAATTACATCTTACCATTCAAGTTGTATATGGAGAAGCGATAAGAAAAATTGGCCATATTTGTTTCCTGACGAAGAGGAGATCTTTTTACTGGTTCCATGGGCTTGTCAGAATCTAAGCTCTTTAAAAAAGAAAGTTTAATAAGTTGTATTATTTTCAGGCTTCGATTATAAAAAAGATAAAGTTTGATTAGGTGAACTTTCATAGAATAGTTAATAAAACCAAAATCCTTCTAGTCCTAAGGAAAAGTATAATTGTTTTTCATATTATTTTGGCTATAATTTTTTTTTCAATTGTTAGATACATGCTTACTTTAAGGCATTTAAGACCATCCTAGTTCAGAGTATCATTCCGAATACCTCAAGTGATGAACTCATTTTACATAAATTCATTACAATCTGAGCGTATGAATATGGACATGGAAAGATAAAAAATAGAAAGGAACAATGCAGGGAATTCTGTTATCTCTTTCCTCAAAGGGATTTGTTTTTGGTCCAGCATAGTCTCATTCTTGGTATGAAGTACCCTGAAGATAAGGCAAAATTCTGGACTCAAAATGAGTGAAATCCAAGATCATTTTGTTTCTTTGTATTTATTTTTATTAAAAACTTGTTTTTTTTAGTTTTAATTCTAGTTAATATATACTGTTATATTAGTTTCAGGTGTACAATATAGTGATTCCACAATTCTATACATTACTCAGTGCTCATTATACCAATCCCCTCCCCTTTGGTAACCATCAATTTGTTCTCTATAGTTTAGAATCTATATTTTGGTTTGTCTCTTTTTTTCTTTGGCCTTCTTTAGTGATATACTTGGATTCCTTTCTCTTTATTGTTTGCATATGTATTACTGGTTTTTTATTTATGGTTACCATTATGTTTGTATATAACATTTTCTGTATATAGCAGTCTACATGAAGTTGATGGTCACCTAAGTTTGAACCCATTCTTTTTTTTAAAAATTTTTTAATTTTTTTTAATGTTTATTTATTTTTGACAGAGAGAGAGAGCATGAGGGGGGAGGGGCAGAGAGAGAGGGAGACACAGAATCTGAAGCAAGCTCCAGGCTCTGAGCTGTCAGCACAGAGCCCGATGCGGGGCTCGAACTCACAGACTGTGAGATCATGACCTGAGCCGAAGTCGGACGCTCAACCAACTGAGCCACCCAGGTGCCCCTGAACCCATTCTTTACTCCTCTCCCCCTCATGTTTTAGGTGTATGGTGTCATACTTTACATCCTTTTATTTTGTGAATCTCTTGACTTATTTTTATAAAAATACTTATTTTACTGCTTTTGTGCTTCCTACTTTTCTCACTCCTAACTTTTGGTCTTTCCACTCAGAGTCCCCTTTAACATTTCTGAGATTAATAAACAAATCCTCCTCTCCTTTACCCCAAGTGTTTTTCAAACTGTTGCTTCTATGCTCTATCTCAGTGGGGCTGTTTGTTGTGCTGCCTCTTCATGGGCAGTTTCCTCTAGCCCTTCTGGGTCTCCCAGAGCCAAGCCCCCTGATTTTAAAGTTCTAAGTGTTAAATTAAGCTCCACTGATTATAAGAAGGGACATTCAGCCCCTCTGGTTTTCAAAGCCAAATGTATGGGGATATGTCTTCCTCATGCAGGGTCCCTCATGTGAACATCTGCTTCTCTCCCCTCTCCACACCCAGGATGCCCCTCCCTCATGTCTCTGCCCTTCCTTCTCTCTTGGATGTGGCTTCTTCACTACATTTAGCTACGGAGAGTTTGTTCTGCCAGTCTTTAGGTCATTTTCTGGGTCATTTACACTGATGTGGGTGTTACCTAGTTGTATCTATCAGACCAAGTGAGCTTAGGATCTTCCTACTCCACCATCTTCCCCAGAAGTTCTAAGACCTAAGATCTCAACAGAGAGTGGCTACAACTTCAAACAACGACGGAATATCCTTTTTCTTCTCAAACTCTATTAAGAGGAGGACAAAATGTAATCCAGCTGTGATACTGCCTATAAGTCTAGAATTACACTGTACTTAAGGACAGTGTCTTGTAAGTTATCTTGCTAACTCTTTAAATGACACTTTTCCTCTCTAACCTTTCTACAATAAAGAATATAAGATGCTTACAACAGAGAAATTCAGGGGAAAGGTCAGTAGTTAGTGTCTATTTAAATAAATTTGCAAATATTAGGAATAGTCTTTTAAAACTTTAATTTCTATTTAAAATCAAATAGATTTCAAATACAAAAAGAATGCTGGATAGTCTTTTTGTAGAATCATGGAATTAGATTAGAATGGCGCCTTCTTTATTCACTTGTCTCAAGATAAAAGGAATCCATTCAGATAGTGTCCAACCAGTTTTTAAAGCTATCATATGAAGGATTTCTATAACCATTCACTGCCTTATTTCAAAGTTTCACAAAACTGTCAGGAAATTCTTTCAACCTCAAACCCAGTTCTTCTGCAATTTAAGTCCTAATGCTTCTCTCAGTGGAAATGAAAAGTAATAGGTAGATAATATTTTCTGTAAAAGAACTTGAATATAATTGAGGACATATTAGGAGTCCATCTATTTACCAGTTCAAATAAACAGATACTTGTTATAATTATCTGCTGTGCCCACAGTGCTGGGGGAACAAGGGAAATAGTAAGAAATACTCCTTGACACCAAGAAATTGGTAACCAAGTAGTATGGTTTTTAACTCTTTTGGGGTGTTTGGGCAGGGTGGGGGGAAGTATCATGAGAATTTTGTAAAAGCTATGTATGACCCTTCTTCCAAGAAAAGGCAAATACACAAAAATTTTTACAAATGATTTTAGAGGATTCACCAACCACTTAGAAGTTAAACTCAATTTAATATAAAGTTGAAAATCCCATTAACACAGTATGTATGATACAGGTGCACAGATGACACTTTGTAGTAAATTAAAATAATGAAACAAAAACTTGAGGTTTAAGCCGCTAATAAAGTACATAAACCATTTTTTGAAAATTTCTAAAGTGTTGAAAAGCAACTTGTTAGCAGTGAGCCACAGCATGCAATGGTTTTAATTTTGTCTCTAAAGACACATTTATACAATAAAAAACCAAAAACAACAACAACAAAAAACAAAAAAAATCAATGGGGTGCCCAGTAGCTCAGTCAGTTAAGCATTGGACTTCCACTCAGGTCATGATCTCATGGTTCATGAGTTCAAGCCCTGCGTCAGGCTCTGTGCTGACAACTCAGAGCCTGGAGCCTGCTTCAAATTCTGTGTCCCTCTCTCGCTGCCCCTCCCTCGTTCACACTCTGTCTCTCTCAAAAATAAATAAACATTGGGGCGCCTGGGTGGCGCAGTCGGTTAAGCGTCTGACTTCAGCCAGGTCACGATCTCGCGGTCCAGGAGTTCGAGCCCCGCATCAGGCTCTGGGCTGATGGCTCAGAGCCTGGAGCCTGTTTCCGATTCTGTGTCTCCCTCTCTCTCTGCCCCTCCCCCGTTCATGCTCTGTCTCTCTCTGTCCCAAAAATAAATAAACGTTGAAAAAAAAAATTAAAAAAAAATAAATAAACATTAAAAAAATTTTTATAAAACAAAACAGTCACAGCATTAGGTTAGGAGCCAACTTTTTTGGTGAGTGGCTCTTTACATTATATGGCAAGAAATTTAAAACACTGGGAAGAATACAAGTACCAAACCAGTAGAAATGCCATTTGCAGTGAAATAGCATGGAGTTACTATTCCACCTTTAAAAAAAATGTTTTGTTACCTATTTTTGAGAGAGAATGGGGGTGAGGGGCAGAGAGAGAGGAGGAAAGGATCCCAAGCAGGCTTCGTGCTGTCAGCACAGAGCCCAATGTGGGTCTTAAACTTACCAACTGTGAGATCATGACCTGAGCTGAAATCAGGAGTTGGATGCTTAACCAAATGAGCTACCCAGGCACCCCACTATTCCACCTTTTTTAAACCCAAGATCCAATAAAACAAGATGAAAAAGCTTTGCCACTATTTTAAAATGCAGCCAGGAATGAAGTTTTGTCAGTATTCTAGAATTATGTAATAGAAAATACTTACATATGAAGACATTACTTATGTTGTAAAATATATTCATATTTACTAAGTTATGTAATAAGATTTGCTAAAATTTAGACTTTTAGATTTTAGGTTTTAAAACTTTTTTAGCTAGCAATCTCAATTTACAAAAGAGATTTTAAGTAATCCCTCTAGATGAACAGAACTTCTGCAACAAGTATTTTTTTGTTTTTAGACTTCTTAAAATAACCACAGAAGATAACACTGTGTTCTAGAGTTACCATTCATTGACTTTTGAATGTTTTGTACATTTTCCCTTTGTACCAGTATTTAAAAATGAAACCTATATCCATATCCTTATGTCCACACAGTAAACTTTTAGCACACAGTGATGACTAAAATCATCGAATAATTTTTCAAGTACTATTTCTAACCTGAGTGAGTTTGTCTAGCTCCCCTAGCCAGGCTCCAAACATTTTGTCCAGGTCCTGATCTTCCTTATCACTGTCTTCTTCAGCACCATGGTCAATTTCTTCATCTGATAGCTGCTCCATCTGAAATACAGATATTTGGGTAGAATGAAGAGTAACAGGCTGAACTTGAAAAATTATGCAGTATCTCTTGTGATATATATTGCAACTTTCTGGAGTTAAATCTTCAAAACTAGAGATCACATTACACAAAGGAACTAGAAATCATTAATGGAGACAGGACTGACAAGTGAATAGGAATGAGCACTTAAGTCTCAAATTTTTAGGAAATTGTGAAAAAGCAAAATGTATCAGATTATGACCAGAATCACAAGTTAACAGTAATTCTAAAATTGCAGAGCCCTCCCATTAATCAGAGGATTTTATGGTAGTACAGTTTTCTCCACTAACTGATCCTATAACACTCCAAACACCACAGAGAAACAATTTCAGAAGACTTCAAATCCAGCAAGTTATTATCTCACTTATTCTGTAAAAATCTGTTTAGATGCAAATAAGTATGTATCCTGAAAAACTTTAGTCCAAAAATCACTTCAGAGAAAAGACAAAACAAAATATTTTATCTAGGTTAGTTTGTTGAATTAGTTCCTCCTCCTATATTCTTTCTATCTTATTTTCTCATTGGTTACTACAAGACTGAAGGAACCAGATTGAAATTTAAAAAACTTTAGAAAACTGGAATTGAAAACTTTAAATTCCTATACAAAGTTTCCTATATGTATGACTTTTCAAGTGTAATTTCATGAAAGAAGAGATATTTTCCTTCTCATTAATCATAGGATATCTGACATGGAACCTACACATTGTTTTGAGGAGGCAAAAAAGATTACACAAAACAAAGATCAATTACTGACCAGATACTTAAAGTTCTTAAAGTAATATTAATCTGATTATTATATTTCAATATAAAGGCTCTGAAAAATCTTTTTAATTTTCAGTACAGTTAACATACAGTGTTATATTTGTTTCAGGTGTACAACAGAGTGATTCAACAATTCCATATATTACCCAGTGCTCATCACAAGTACACTCCTTAATCTCCATTACCCATTTCACCCATCTCCCCATTCTGGTAACTATCATTTTTGTTCTCTACAGTTAAGAGTCTGTTTCTTGGCTTGGCTCTCTCTCAGATATCTTTAGTAAAGATTACCTTTGCTTAAACCAACATATTCCAAATTAATTTGACCCCAAGTCCTTTACCTTCAACTTGGAGTAATACCTACTAACTTTCCCAGGGACACAATGAATATCATCATTTTATATTCCATACTCTTGACTCACATTTCTGAAACACTAATTTTGTTCCAGTGGATCTAGGCAATATTTGGAATACTGCCTGTCAGTTGGTTTAAACAATTCCTCAGAGATTAAAGATATCCTAATCTCAAATAAGAATTTGTACACATATTGTACTTCCAAAGCAACAATCAACAAAATTGTGATCCTTAAAATGTGGTTGTATGCTATGTGAGGAATTTCATTGTCTAATGAAGTATCATGAAACTAAATTTGAAACCTTATGTTACTAGATAAAATTTTGCAGAGTCAAATAATGCTGCAAAATCAAATTGAACTTAGTTCTAAGGATGTGGAAAATCAGATCATATCCCATTTAATCACTTAAGGAAAATAATTTTCTTAAGCTTAATACTACAAAGGATCATAGCTTAGCAATATCTCTAATGTAAACTGATAACTCTCATTTCTTAATTTCACTACCTTAAACATGTATAAATCAGGACATTCTTTTTTTCTTAAGTTTATTTATTTTGAAAGAGAGAGAGAGAGAGAGAGAGAGAGCAAGAGCGAGAGAGAATTCCAAGTAGGCTCTGCGTTGTCAGCACAGAGAAACGAGGTGGGGCTTGAACTCATGATCCATGAGATCAAGACCTGAGCAGAGATCAAGACTCAGATGCTTAAAGGACTGAGCCACCCTGGCGCCCTGCCCCCCGACCAGGGCTTTCTGTCTTGACAAATGGAAAATACATCCACTAATTCCCCAATTCATACATTTGAGTCTTAAAGAAATTTGGTTTTTATAATTCACTTGTGTTAATAGTTCAAGGATTTTTATTCATTAATGAATTACAGATCTATCTCAACAGAAAACTGATATCATACTTAATCACTAAATATACCCAGAAAGACATAAAATGTTTGTACAAAGAGAAACCTGACGAGGTAATTTAATTACTCAAATAACAGTTGCTAGCTTGAGAACATCTAGGGGTAGTAATACCCAGTCTTCATAATGAAGACCAAAAAGCAACAAAACTGGAATTTAAAAGTCAACTTCCTCTTCCTTCCTAATCTTAAAAATAAATACACTGGAATAACCCAGAAGCTAAAATATTCTAGCAGGAATTCTGCTTTGAGATAATGATTATGCCTGCACTTCCCTTCTGAGCACACACTGTAATTGCCCATAAGGAAAATGCTATACTGGAAAAAAATAGGAATATAATTTTGCATATAATTTTGTAGAGCATATGTGAAATAGTTCAAAATGAATATAAGTATTTTAAATTATCACAGAACTAAACAGAACTATAGCCTCCACATCAAAGACTAGTGTGTTAATTTTGAGTTTTTTCCTATTACTCAAACTCAATAATTATTCAGATTTATTAAATCTCTTTAAATATTTTCATTGATAGTTTTACCTGGATTACTACAGATTAAAGTAGAGGAAATATGGCTAGGGAGCAATATGGAAATTATGAAGCAACTATTTGACTTTTACTATTTATGTAACTTTTGCCAATTTTTTCCATTCTTGAATTTCTGTCACTACATGGGTTATTCTATAAAAATTAACTTAAGACACTTATCCAGAGACTTTTCCAAAAAAAATTTAGGCCCTAAAATATTTCTTAACATATCTACACCCTATTCTCCATTCTCTAGAAGCTGAAGTTGATCTTTATTCTCCTACACCCAGAAATGGCATCATTTCTAATTATTACACGTACCAAATAGCACCCCCCCCCAAAGTTGTCTTGGCTGTACTGTTAAAGTCAGCAAATCCTGTACAGAAATTCATTCCTTATTACATATTGATACCTGTCTCCAATTAGATCGCAATTCTAAATCTGAATTTTCCCAACATAATGCCCCTACTGGAAATAACATCAGAAAATGCAAATAAAATAATACAACAGTCAACTGTCCCTCCAAAGACGAAAAAATTAAGGAAAAGAAAATAGAACTTATGACTCTTATTTTTAAATTATAATGCATACTAGAATACTATTAAATTATCCTATGACTATTAGATTAGGTACTTTGGGGGTGAGGAGAATATTCACTTTAATTCCCTGCTCCATTACATCTGAGGGAAATTATGTTCTGAAAAAATAAATGTACCCTAACACAAACGAAAAGGTTTATTCCCCAAAGGGCAGACTTGCTGAATATAAAATAAAATCCATAGTCACTGGCAGATCAAGAAAACCCTGAGTAATTCAGGGACCTCTGTGACCTCTCTTCCCACTCTACCCTCCAACCACACAGTCCTGCCTGCTATTCATTCCTCGGAGCAGAAAGTGGGGGGAGGGTGTAGATTCTGTTTTGAAGATAGATTGAGAGATGTCTAGTAAATACCCAACTGGAAAAAGTGAGGAAGGGTTAGGAGTCAGGTAATGAGAAGGTTTGGTTGCCTGATTATTTCAAAATCATACGTTTATTAGAGAATAATCACAGATTGCAGGTAATAATGAATGAACTTATATTTTAAGCTAACTTACATTTATTTTTTTCATGTAGTAAAAACAAAAATAATGGGGGAATGATCCACTGTTGCTTATATGCAGGTTGGGTTTCATTTTACAGATAACAGTCAATAATTGTGCTTCGATTATTACAGGTTAAAACTTACATATAGCAAGCTCTACTACACACAACAAAACAATTCATTTAGTATTCCTTAGTAAGAAACAATATTATTTCCACTAAATTTTCTATGAAGTTAATTATTTAAACATATTTTCCCTATTAGATTTCCTCTTGGGAGATATTTTGGTTTACTATTCAATTTTCTCACTGTGAGATAGAATGGTGATCTTTATCAAGAAGGCTGGGCTTAGAGTAGGATTTAAGAATTTGAATAAATATATTCCAGGTAGGACAAATTATAAAGAGCAAAGGAGAAAGCCTGTGTTTATAAAACTGTCATGACACTGACTCAAATAAAACAAGAGTTTGAAAAAGTGAGTTTTAAGAGGACTAAGGTCATATATATGACTTTGAAAGCCAAGTCTATTTTTCCCCCAGAAGGCAACCGTATTTTCAAACACAGAAGCAAAGGGGTAGGGGGAGAAATGGTATTTTACTCAGAAATGGTATTTTAACTGTGTAAAAGTTATTAGGAAGGGGCTAATATTTAGAGGACTACTGTGAATATTATGTAGAGATAATTACACAAATGGAAATTGAAGTCCAAGTCATATGTTTAGAGAGTGGCAAGAAAAATACGTGGTATTAAACAAAGGTGCCTTATTTATTACTGAAACTTTTGTCCCTTTAACAATTCAAAAATAATTGTTTTTTGTTAAAAAATATATATCTACATACATATGTGTATATATATACATACATACATACGTATGTATATATGTACTTAAAACCACATGAAAACTCCCAGAATGCAGCAGTACAAAGCTGCCACTACAGCATTTCTCCAGGTCTAACATGCTCAATGTTCCAAAGAGGCAAGAGAAGCTTTGATTTAATTTAATGTTTGCTGTACACCTGCTGTGTGCTAGACACTGGGGGAAGAGAGATGGACATGATAGCCTCTGTCTTTAAGGAATGTATAATCTAGTAGGGGGCAGACAAGGAAACCAACAATGATAAAACACTGTGTTAAGTACTACAACAGGGGTATGTTATGTGACTATAGTTTAATTTAGTTTGAGGAGACTGGAAAGGGACGACGCTTCAGTCCAGACCTGAAGAATGAATGTGCAAGGCAGAGAAGGGGAAGAGTGTTTTAGACAGAGGGACCACGATGTGCAAGGGCATAAAGCTGTGACAAAGTAAGACACGTTGAGAATTCTAAGTGACTTAACATTTTTGGAGCATAAGATA